GAACAGTGGTTTTTTCATCAAAATTTGAATTTGATATCAGTTTTGGTGAACCATTGGAGATGGTCTAAGGCACACTAAACCAATTAATCCTCAACTTATTCATAGTTTCCAATGAATTAGTAAAAGCCTAATCATTAATATCAATTTAGTCAATATTCGAATAGTAATTGATCGGTTGCCATTTATATGTAAATTTTTTGTTGTGTTTTCATTACCTCAAACATTATCACTAACAAAAACACATGAAACTCCAACTACGTTTGTCGTTTTACAATTCTCTCTCTCTCTCTCTCTCTCTCTCTCTCTCTCTTTCACACACACACACACACACACAGTCATTATCGTCAATGTTAATGTTACCTGAAACTTTGTTGCTATGACTATCTCATCGACTCTCACTCTTTCTTTCCTTGTCATTATTAGTGAATTAGACAACAATGTTATTGTTACCAACTTCAATTAATCATGCCCTTCGATCCACTGAAACACAACCATCATCATCATCGACTTAGGCCATTATAATAGCATTGTTGCCACTACTAGTGTCATGTTGTCATTATGTCCAAATGATGACCTCGGGTATAAATAACTTTGACACACAGTACAAGACTTTTCACTTTTGGCGACTAAATTTTTAGTCGCCAAAAGTCAATTTTGTATACAAAAAATAAATAACTTTAACTGTCAAAGTACATACAAACCAACTATTGTCCAAACTAAAATAATAATTCCATACAAAATATAGAATCATACAAAAAGCAAAGCCCTCCATATACAAAAATTACATTTACTACCATGTGAAATGACCATTTGGCAAGGTACAAATTACCATCGTAATCTGTACCCAGACAAAAGGTGATGTATGTACCAAGACAAAAGTACATCTATGTACCACGACAAAAAATCATATATATGTACGGCGACAAAAGGTGATCTATGTACCATCCCAGTAATTATTTGTTGGCTGCCAAAAGTTTTCTGTATCAGTAATAGTGAATTGCACAAAAACTGGGGATGACAAAAGTATTACATTAGTTCTATACAAAAGTGAAATTTCTTCTTCATACACCAAAATATTGCTCTGAAAGTCCACGCAGCAAAGTCATCTACAAAAAACAAAAAAAACAAAAAAACATTAGAATTGGACCCTAAAATGCCCAACTTCATGAATGAATTTGGGAACAAGTGACAAATAACATATCAAAGAAGCAACTTTTCATGATGAATCAATTATCAGTCTTTCTAAAGTCTTTTGTTATAAGGAACATTGTTAAATGCAGAACAATCATTACTAAATCTGTCATTACTAACATAAAGCTAATGTAACAATCTTCTATTTGTATGCAACATGTATCCAAATTCTGTGGCTAAACCAATAGCAAAGCCCAATGTGAATAGAAACTATTCTTTTTACCAACTTCCTCATTAATTGCTTGCAAAAGGCACTTGAATCAATAGATTGGATATAAAACTATCCCTACTTATTAATGTCTGTCAGTGCCATTTCATTCAGGATATTAGAACATGTGAGAAAAATAATAACCAAAATAAAGTTCAATCACAAAAGGAAATATGTAGAAATGTATGTTCAATCACAAAAGCAAATTTTCATGATGAATCAATTATCAGTTTTGGGCATATTCGGCTCTAACTCCCAACCAATGGGTCCGAATTACATTCCGTTAGTTGTCACAAGTTCTATTTGTCATGGGGAAGCTGCCCGTGAGAGTCACACGGCGGTTCGGGGGCTGTTTTGAATTTTCGCCCCCGAACCGCTATTTTTCGAGTAAGTTTTGGGTGTATTCAGCTCTAACTCCCAACCTATGAGTCCGGATTACATTCCTTCAGTTTTCACAACTCCTATTTGTCATGGGGAAGCTATCCATGAGAGTCACATGGAGGTTCGGGGGCTGTTTTGAATTTTCGCCTCCAAAACGCCCTTTTTCGAGTAAGTTTTGGGCGTATTCGGCTCTAATTCCCAACCTACGGGTTCGAATTACATTCCGTTAGTTATCACAAGTCCTATTTGTCACGGGGAAGCTGCCCGTGAGAGCCACATGGCAGTTCGGGGGCTGTTTTGAATTTTTGCCCCCGAAACGCCCTTTTTAGACTAAGTTTTGGGTGTGTTCGGCTGTAAATCCAAATCTACGGGTCCGAATTACATTCCTTCAATTGTCACAAGTCCTATTTGTTATAGGGAAGCTACCCGTGAGAGTCACACGGTGGTTCGGGGGCTTGAATTTTCGCCTCCGAAACGCTTTTTTCGAGTAAGTTTTGGGCGTATTCGGCTTTAAATCCCAATCTACGGGTCCGAATTACATTCCATCAGTTGTCACAAGTCCTATTTCTCATGGGAAAGCTGCCCATGAGAGTCACACGGTCGTTCAAGGGCTGTCTTGAATTTTCGCCCCCGAAACACCCTTTTTCGAGTAAGTTTTGGGCATATTCGGCTCTAACTCCCAACCTACGAGTCTGGATTATATTCCCTCAGTTTTCACAAGTCCTATTTTTCATGGGGGAGCTGCCCGTGAGAGCCACATGGTGGTTCGGGGGCTGTTTTGAATTTTTGTCCCCGAAACGCCCTTTTTCGAGTAAGTTTTGGGCGTATTCGGCTATAAATCCCAATTTATGGGTCCGAATAACATTCCGTCAGTTGTCACAAGTCGTATTTGTCATGGGGAAGCTGCCCATGAGAGCCATACGGTGGTTCAGGGGGCTGTTTTGAATTTTCGCCCCCGAAACGCCCTTTTTTGAGTAAGTTTTGGGCGTATTCTCTAAATCCCAACCTACGGGTCCGAATAACATTCCGTCAGTTGTCACAAGTCGTACTTGTCATGGGAAAGCTTTTCGTGAGAGTCACACAGTGGTTCGAGGGCTGTTTTGAATTTTCGCCCCCGAAACGCTAGAGTAAGTTTTGGCCGCATTCGGCTCTAACTCTCAACCTACGGGTCCGAATTACATTCCGTCAGTTGTCACAACTCCTATTTGGCATAGGGAAGCTTCCCGTGAGAGCCACATGGCGGTTCGGGGGCTTTTTTAAATTTTCACCCCCGGAACGCCCTTTTTTGAGTAAGTTTTGGGCGTATTCGGCTCTAACTCCCAACCTACAGGTCCGGATTACATTCCGTCAGTTGTCACAAGTCCTATCTGGCATGGGGAAGCTGCCTGTGAGAGCTATACGGTGGTTCGGGGGCTGTTTTGAATTTTTGCCCCCGGAACGCCCTTTTTCAAGTAAGTTTTGGGCGTATTTGGCTCTAACTCCTAACCTCCAGGTCTGGATTACATTTCGTCAGTTATCACAAGTCCTATTTGTCATGGGGAAGCTGTCCATGAGAGCTACATGGTGGTCTGGGGGCTCTTTCGAATTTTTGCCACTGGAACGCCTTTTTTCAACTGAGTTTAAGGCGTTTTTGGCTCAAACTCGAAGCCTGCGAGTCCGAATTACATTCCGTCTGTTGTCACAAGTCCTATTTGTCATGGGGAAGCTGTCCGTGAGAGCCACATGGTGCTTCAGGGGCTTTTTTGAATTTTCGGCCCCGGAACGCCTTTTTTCGACTAAGTTTAAAGCGTTTTCGGCTCTAGCTCCCAATCTACGTGTCCGAATTACATTCCGTCAGTTCAATTCTCTTTCAAAAAAATGATTTTTTTTTTTGAATCAATATTATGTTACAGATTCCATGATTCTCATGCCATGCCATGCCATGCCAATTTCTTTATATCATCATTTCTTTATGTCATCGCAAGTTATATGGCATGAAGCAATTTTCCAAATTCCCATTCCATTGTCATTTAATCAGAATTTCATCCCTTACATTCTCAAGAAACAAAATTAGCCTCAACCAACAACCCACAAAAATTTAATCTTGCAAGATCAAACCATCACATATTATATAGCCTACAATGAGATCCAGAAGCTTATGCGAACGATCTAGCATCTATCAGACAAATTTACCAAAACATGTACCATTAGCTTGCATAAAAACAGTGGATAACATTTAAGTGGTATAGCTCAGAATCATGAGTGGTAAAGTACGTCAAGTTGTAGATAAATCCTCTGTTTAAGAATAAATGAATAAACCAAATACATCAAGTTTATAACTCATTATTCTTCCATGGAACTGCATCCAAATAAACCAAAGCACACACTTTGTTAAATCTTATTCCACTGCTCAGAAGCTAGAAAACTTCAGAGCATGTATATAGAATGCGCAAGCATTGATAAACAAACAAATAGTAAATTCTAAATTCATTCTTGGGTCTTGATCTAATAAAGTGAATATAATAAAACCAAGTTTCAGTTGCCTCCAGAGCATACACTCACAAGGTCATACACTACAAAACAACCATAAGAGAGCACAAGATCTCTCAAGGATAATTTCCCATAACTTTCCTAACCATCTAAACTTGAAATATGATCAGTACAATGTACTGGCTTGTCCACTGATTAAACATGTTGAAGATCAAGGGAAACTAGAAAAAACAACTGATAGTAAACAACATGAAAAAAGGCATTACCTCCACAAAGGCCATTAAAAAATGAGTAGATCCCACCAGGTTTTAACAATGAAGGAAGATGTTGGTGGAACTGTCTCATATCTTCATAATACTCCCCATAAGTGTGAAAGAATACACCTGCAAAAAATAGAATCAACGATTACAAGGGGACAGTTATGCATGCTATATGCCATATAAGATAGTCAAATTAATTAGTTATTATTTTCTATTAAAAAAATAAAAAGGAAAAAGAAAATCTTAATCTCAAACTAGCAAATTATATATAGACATAAACAAGATGCTATCTAGCCAACCAAATAGTCATTATTAAGCTTTCCCAGGTCAGTCGAGTTGAGTTGAGTGATTGAACAAGATGTCATTCTTGCAACAACTAGCCTAAACACGGGCAACCACTATTACTGATCAAGCTTTTACAAGTATTTGCACATATAAGCAGAGGAGATTGTAGACAATACAACATGCACTTAATCCATTAATGATAGAAATCAGCTACAACTGCACATTTCCTGATGCCAAGAACATAAACGATGTCTGCAGTTTGGAATAACTCTTTTGATTGCCTGACGCATTGCCCTATCACCATTTGTTACAACGAAGATGGGTCTTTTACCATCCATCGCCTCAATTAACATTTCCAACACCCACGTGTATGTCTCCACTGTCTCATCAGGCAACAAAGCACATCCGAATATAGTTGTCATAAAATGGTTACTCACGCCAGCTAGAATTACAAATGGCTTCTTATATGCATTTGTACAATAAGTTGTATCAAATACCAATACATCACCAAATGCAGCATAATCCATTCGAGACCTACAATCTGCCCAGAAAATCTTGTCCAACTGGTTGTCCTTGTCCAACTGGTTGTCCTTATCGACGTTGTATTTGAAAAAAAATAATAGATCTGCATCTAATTTAGCTGATAAGTATCCTAACGCAGCCTTCGCATCACCTTCTGCGAGTTGTACTTTGCGCTCAGCTTGGAATTGATTGTGCAAATCTCTGTGAATGAAGCCCACCTTCTCATAACCCCCTGACTGGTGGACCAAAAAATCCATGATCTGACTCATTTTCATACCCACATTGCGCATGGCCTTTGCTTGAGCTTGGTCTGTACTTGTTACAAACCTATGCGACCAAAGAAAAGGGACGCAGTGTGGTGCTGCCAAGGGATGGTTGTGTTCCCCTACAAAGTGGGTCACAACATATTTCTTATCTGTCTTGTTATAACGCATGCGAAATGTGGCACTACAAAAAAGTTTAGTTTCGGCCCTAGGAGTTCTTACCCGTTCCACACGTTGCAAGTATTTCTTTTCTCTTACACCTTCCCTTGAACAAACCCATTTCCTACTCTCTACAAATTTGTTGTCTCCACTAATTTTTTTTCTATTTCTTCGTACGCTAAAACCGATGACCTTAGCGTATGCATTGTAGAAAGTATAAGCATCATCCTCTGAATTAAATTTTATTTGCAACACATCTTCCTTAGTAAGCATTCATAAACTATCATAGGTTTGGGAAGCTAACCCTTCTTTCACATTAACAACATCATCCTTGCCATCCGGAGCAAATTGATCATCAATTTCAATATTGACCTGTTTATGCCTACTACTTTCAGGTTCATCCATTGTATATACACTCGTAAGTACCCTATTAGCAATTAAAACGAAACAAATCAACTAAAAAACACACCTGCCATTGCGCTGCTATAAATTAAATCTTTGGAACAAATAAATTAACACACCTGCCAGTGCCTTGCAATCAATTAAAAAAAAAAAATTCGAACATGTCTGCAAGCACCCTACTATCAACTAAAACCAAACAAAAAATAAAAAAAGCACACCCGCCAATACTGTGCTATCAATTATTAATTCTTTAAAGAAAATGAACAAATAAGCACACCAGCTAGTGCTCTGCTATCAATTATACGCCAATCATTAAAAAGCACACTTGTAAGTACCCTACTATCAATTAAAATAAAATAAATTAAATAAAAAGCACACCTGCCAGTGTCCTGTTATAAATTAAAATCAAACAAATAAATAAAATAACACACCCGCCAGTGCCCTGCTATTCATTAAAATCAAATAAATAAATAAGCACACCAGCCAGTGCCTTGCTATCAATTCAAAGCAAATAAATTAAAAAACACAAAAGCAATTACCCTACTATAAATTAAAATGAAACAAATAAATAAAATAGCACACCCGCCAGTGTCCTGCTATAAATTCAAATAAAATAAATTCAAAGTACCCTACTATCAATTAAAATGAAATAAATAAATAAAGTAGCACATCCACCAGTGCCTTACTATTCATTAAAATCAAACAAATAAATAAGCACACCAGCCAGTGCCTTGCTACTAATTCAAAGCAAAAAAATTCAAAAACATAGAAGCAAGTACAGTAATATCAATTAAAATGAAACAAATAAATAAAATAGCACACCCGCCAGTGCCCTATTATTCATTAAAAGCAAATAAATAAATAAATACACCCACCAGTGCTCTGCTATCAATTTAAAGCAAATAAATTAAAAACACAGAACCAAGTACCCTAATATCAATTAAAATGAAACAAATAAATAAAATAGCACACCCGCCAGTGCCCTGCTATTCATTAAAAGCAAATAAATAAATAAACACACTCGCCAGTGCTCTGCTATCAATTTAAAGAAAATAAATTAAAAAACACAGAACCAAGTACCCTAATATCAATTAAATGAAACCAATAAATAAAATAGCACACCTACCAGTGCCCTGCTATTAATTAAAAGCAAATCAATTAAAAAGCAGACCTGCTAATGCAACCGCTACGGAGGAAGGGATGGAGGAGGTACAGGTTTACTTCTACGTTAAGATGGAGAAATTGAGGACCTATGACAAACAAAAACAGAACATCGAAATAGAGTTAGTAAAGAAGACAATACTTAAGGAAAGTATGATTATGGCGAGAAAATAAAGAATCTATGTACGAAAAATATTATTTTGCACATCTTTTCACATTAACAAACTGCATAAGCAATAACAGAGATGAAAGTCTACTACTTTTGTTCAAAGTATGAATAACCATTACATAAATAAACACTTACACAAATGTACCACAACCAAGCGTTTGACTACTTCAAACAAAAATTAAATAAAAATATCTACAAAAAAGGATTATTTGATTGGATGAACTATTGGATTATTTGGTAGATCATTTTTTGGTTAATTTCCTAGTATTTCCTATGTCACAGGTGAAGCTGAGTAGCTTCTAAATCGATGGACTATTGGATTGTTTTTCTGAAAACTTCGTATCCGGCCTATTGAACTATTGGATTACTGGATTTGGATTATTGTTGTTGGATTTTCTAATCTTGATAGAACCTTAATGTTGTGCTTGCATCATGTATATGCGTAGAGAATTGAAAAGGAAGTGCGAAAATGTGGGTGAAATGTCAATGAACTATAATTACATTTGACACACATTTTCCATTTCCTTTTCCAAATCCATAGCTAAATCCATGATCCAAACATAACATTAAGGACATATGACGGTTTCAGTGTCATAGAAAGGAAAGCACATTCACATAATTTTCTTCTCCTTGTGTACTAGTTTATTATTTTCCTAAACAATTTGAAATAAAAAAAAAAATATGGGAGCGTATTTTTCAAATGTTTTGAGCAAGCTTCAGTCCATATGTCATAGTTACATGAAGTTATATATCATAAAGTGAGTAATTACAAATGATAGCAATTATGGATTTGGTTATAATTCTTGATTAATTATAAACAACAGCAACTAGGACTCACTTTGCTAATTTAATATAAGGATTTTTTTGGTTAAGTGGGGAAAGAAATAATATTTCAAAAACACACTCGTTCGTGTGGTTGGTAGACATCATTAAGGTGTGTGAACAAGAAACTCACGTGTGTTTTGGTCTTTATGGTCTTCAACACTATTTGGGGTGAATATTTATTTTCACGACTTTCACCATCTAATATTGACAAACAAGAAAGGATAAGCTTTGTACATTCTGGAGATTTTGCATAATAGAAGATAAGTTGGAAGTCTTTGTCAAAGAACAAGGTAGACAAATATAACAAAAATTGAATTGGAATTTGAATTTGAATTTGAATATACAATCTTCACCACCATAGCAATTACAAGCTTGCTTTTCTACCCAAGATAAACTATAAAAGCCGACCCCAGTAGTTTAGCGGTATAGGGTTAGACCCTGAGATGAACTGTAAACCTAGACATCTTAGTTTGACTCTCATTAGTGTCTCTCGGGCTTAACCCATACTTGTGGTTTACCAATGATTGCAGGTATCAAAAGTTCACTCCATAAGGGTGGGTCAAATGTGGCCCTGCCTTTTAATTGCGTTGTCTAAATCTTAGCGCTGAAAAAATGGACCATCATATTAGAAACCACCCTATGAATTTAATTTAACTAAAAATGCACTTCAAATACCTTAAAAATGGTTAAATAAGCTGCATGGGATATAACATGGAACTAGATTTTTTTTTTATTTTCTCACCTGTTATACAGATTTAAACTTTATATAATTTGAATCATACTCAATAAATTTAATCTGTACATTTTAAATTTTAATTTTTTTCCTCTCTGAATATAACATTGATGGGATCCAATGTGGTTGATGAAGGAGGATATTTCTTGAACAAGAAATGATTTTGGAATACATATAGGATCCACGTATGGTTTCACCAAAAAGAGCTACCAGGTGCACAAATCCTTTGGTGGAGAGCCATATGAAAAAGCAATACTTATCATAGTTAAGAGTGAAACCCACATGCATTTGAGCTTATTTGGGTAATAAAAACACTAAAACGGTGTTGTGATTTTCTATAATCTTTACACTTGGTCGATCTCTATTAGTAGTTTAGTATACATGCCAATGTCATGCCACTCAATTAAAAAATAAATATTATTAGGCAATATTTGAATTTTGAATTTCAATAAAAATTTGTAAAAAATATTGAAAAGAGAATAAAACGTATTAAAAATTTAAAGATCCATATCTTAACTTTATTATTACTATTTTATAAAGTACTATTTTAACTTTATAGAGTACTATTTTATAAAGGCTTTTTCATAAAGTACTATTTTAACTTTATTATTACACAGAGTTCTAATCAACACATTGCATTTCTGAAACTATTAAGGACGAACTAATTCTATACAATGACTTGATAAAACAACTCATATTTAGACACCATGCTAAACCTAGATCCAATCAAATTCAAAAGACCAAATTACAAAACACACCTTCTGGTTTAGGGTTAATCTCAATTTAGGTCTAGCATTTACAATTTTACAATATAGTCCTTTAACTTAAGAAATTGTGTCATCTAGTCGAGCCGTCACGCACTGTTAGCAACTTGGACAAAAACTGATCACGTACGCTGCATGTGTGCTTTGTGGAGAGCAATTTAGTAAAATTTTCTATAGTCCATCAAACCCAATCCGTATTTACGACCCAACTTTCTCTCTCTCTCTTTCTCTCTCTCTCTCCACTATTGTAGAACTTCATATATTTAAAAAATGGAAGGATTGAATAAAAAATATCAATATATTAAAATTCATTTTTGCTTGTGATTTGAGAAGTTTAAATTGAGAGATTTATTATAGATAAGTGTTATATATATATATATAAGTTTTTGAATGTCGACCCTAACTAGGATTCCTAGAGCCGCCACCTGTCATGTTTAGAACTAAACCTGATATTGGTCCAGTCCAGTGAGGAATGTTCATTTGGATCCTTGGTTCTACTCTAGATCTATCATTTGGATGGCTTGATAATTAGATACAAAATAATTTTAAATTGGTTTATGTGGAGTATTTCTATATGTAGCTTAAACTGAAGTAAACATTTGCCTGTTGCGTTTTTTATACTTTTGGCTCAGGAGCATTTCCTTTTTGTTTAGATTCTTTTGTAGTGTATTTGTGGGACTTCCTTTTCTTTTTTTCTTTTTTTGTTAGGTGGCCTCTCTTGTATACATCATGTGTACTTAGGGTATGCATCTTTTTTTGGTCCTTTCTATTGAAAGACATTTTTATCATAAAGTGGCTATAAGCTATTGATAAAGTAGAGGTACAGTAGTGGACATGGCAGTTCATGTGATCCAAGATATGGTGGTTTAAGTTTTCTTAAGCATCATTTCAATGGTTTTAACAATTGATATAGGCAGGTTTAATGGTTTCATAAGATTTGCTTGTAATAATGTGTGAGTAAAGTGTTTCAAATAAACTTTCTGGATTTTCAATTTCACCAGTATGACTGGCCAGTCTGGTTCAGTCCTGATAATACTGATTGCAAGATTATTCACTGCATTTTTTTTATTGTCAAGATAATTCACTGCTTTATTGCATTCATCATAACACAATGTAGAGGCCAATTCACATATCAAAGGAGAAACATATTTATTATTTATCAAAAAAAAAAAAAAAAAGGAGAAACATATTTATTGAGTTGTATTATTATTCAATCCTTTACTGACACTTAGAAGTTTTAATTTCCAAAAAGAAAGATAAAAAAAAGTAATAAACCCTTGAGCTGTATTAGTCAATCATTTATTGAAACTTGGTTCAGTTTTAATGTACAAAAAGAAAGAAAAAAGTAATA